ACAGTCTGATCATTCTTCAGGCATCTAGAAAGAAGCAAATATAACTGAGTGGCATTAGCAATTGCTGAAATCTCGTTTGGTATTCCAGAGGTCTTGATGACAACAGTCATTCGGGAATGTTATTGCATCACCAGGAGTGTCTCTGAGATGTTGCATTTTATAGACTGGCATCTCTTGCTTTACCTTCCAGTGATGTCATTGGTGATCATACACAGGGCTTTTGGCTACAGAGGAAAATATTCTCCTCTTGTTCTAAGCCCTTGGCTCTGCAGATTGGTTTTGTTTTGTACTTTGGTAGGAACATTGCCCAATAAGCTGTGTGGTAAAACCTCTCCACCCCCAGCCAACATCACAAAACTCCTAATGATTTACTTGGAGCTGGGGCTTCACATGTGGGATCAAAGTTCTTAGGCCTATTTAATTCATCTGCATCTACCTCTGCTGGTTGTGCTTGCTTCCTCCATTCATGAAAAGTACCTTACTGATCAGCTCTCTTAAAACCTGTAAGGACACTTCCTGGCTACATTCTGAGCAAGGCTAGCAGAATCAGTCCCTCTGTGCATAAAAGGTCCCAGATAATGACATTCAGGCCAAATATTCTATCAAAGATATTTTACTTCATATGTTTTTCCACAACTCAGCACATACTTTAATCACTGGAATGGACAGGCTGACTGATCGCTTGGCTGATTCCCCTAGATCCAACACCTAAAATTAAATGTTCAAAAGTTACAGAGTCTTCGAGCTAAGGCTGCTCTCTGCACATTCTTTGGAAGCCAGAAGCCCAAGTCAATGCTTACTGCTTTGTGGGAGAGCAGAGGAGATCCTCTGAGAGCTGGCAACCATATACCAGGCTTGGTTTCTAAAGGGAGACCAAAGAGGGAGCATGGTAGTTTGGTTCATCTCTTTCCAGGTATGTGATTGGCTGGTTCTGTCAGGTTCACAGGAACACATCAGCATCTCCAGCTAGCCTATTCTGCAGACATTCAGTTTACTGGGAATATTCTAATGTTAGTATTGCCAAGAGAAGTGAAGGACAAAGTGCTTAAGATGAACAATTGCTCAGAAGGGCACACTTGGGTGGCAAGCAATGGTACTATTAACTGCAGAAGACTATGTGAGGATCCTTCCATAGTAGTATTACTCATGAGGAAGTTTCAATGAGACTTGTGGTGTTTGCAGTGCTTAGTCAGAGAAGGAGAGGTGGGAGAGAGTTGCAAAGGGACTAAAGAGGGAAGAATCTTGGGAAGGGCAAAGAAGAAAGACAGGAAAAACAAATCTGTGTATCTCAGCCTAAGAAGGGCATGAAGACAACACATGCCCCAGAATAACAGTGCCACGAAAGCCACAACAGAGATCACTGGTGGGAAGGGATACTCTTCTTTCCCCTCCTTCTTTTTTAATTTACTTCAAAAGGATGGCAGGAGCATGAAGCAAACTGTTATTTATGTAGTGGCAAGAGACATGTATTAGGACATCTGTTTTAAGGAGCTGCTTTAAAAAGAACCACAAGAGTGGAGTGTGTTTGTAGAGCGTAGCAGGCAACCTGCAGAGTAGCAGAAAGCAAGACAGCAGTGGTGCTCTGCGTGCAGACAGCCACAAAGGGCTACAGGATTGTGTACATTTGTACTCCTTGCCAAACCACCCCACCCTGACCCCTGTGGGTATTTTACAAATTGCAAGGAGGTGCTGTTTCCATATTTTCTGCCCAAGAACATGGATCCCTTCTCTGTTGCTCTCCTTCACGACTCCTTTTTCTTAAGTCAGCAGCTTTTAAATTCCAGCTTTGAGTCTTTTAAAAACTCACCCTGTTTCAATGAATATCCAAAATGTATGGCAGAGGAATGCAGAGCTGGATGCTACTCTATCCCAAAGATGAGGCCCCGTTCACCTGGAAAAAAGGAAAAGCAGGCTGAGAGATTTTGAAGCAGAATACACGTCTAACATTCTGCTCTAGTCTCTTACTGACTGCTGAGTACAGGAACAGGTAGAAAACCTGGACACTGATTTACTAAGATGCTGTAAGAAAGTCCATTACAGCTCATGTGTTGCCTCTGCTTCCCAGGGGATAAAAGAGAACTTTGCACAGCTTTCTGCTCATTATCCTTCTAACAGCTGTAGTTTCACAGCTCGGAAAGTGTTGTGGTGTAGGACTCAAGGCAAAAATCAGGTGTGATCCATAGTGAAATGAGAAGGGCAAAGACAGATGGCATGAGGCAGCCATCCCACCAGGAACACAGTGTTGCAGGTGCCGGGCAGTTAATTTCTCAGGTTAGCCAGGTGAGAAAGCATGTTTGATAAAGACCAGATGAAAAATGAGCATAATTGCTCTTTGGGAGATTCAACCTCTTCGTGCCAAGCACTCCTTAGAACAGAACTCTGACAAAACTCATGATAAATTTGCATCCATATCCACTTTCCAAGTTTTGGTAGGAGAATCAATGGCAAATACCACTTCAAAGTAGTAACCAGTTGTGTTACCTCTGCTTTTCTAGCTAGCCACTGTAGGTAACAGAAACATTACACAACTAGAAGTGAGAGTTTGAGATAAGAGTAGCTGATATCACTCTAGTAGGAAGCAGCTGTATTTCTCTTCTACACTAGTGGCTGTCAGCAAGCAACACTGAGCTGACTTAAGATACCCCTACCTCAAGGGAAGCATTATCCTCTGTATTTGCTCCAGTACTGTGTGTTCTGATAAAAACCAAATGTGTCTGCTAAAATCAGTTCATGCTGCAGTTACTACTTTGAATGAAACTTTGTTTTCAGTTACAAAAATTCTCACAGCACGAAGTAACCATTTGGAGTTCCACAGAAATTTACTGGCTATGCCTGCTGTTAACTGTGGCTGTACTTCTGTGTTTTGTAGCTGAGTACAGCCTGCAATGCAGTTTCATGTGTATATAAGCCGCAAATGGGATGTGCTTTGGACAAAATTTCATATTTCAAAAGAGTTCCATAGCAGTCAAAATAGCTTGGAGTAAAATTTGGCAACAGGGAATTTAATATCATGCTGTTACTCCACAGGTTAACAAGCAGATGTCATTATGTAAGAGAGGTGGCATCTTTAATTTTGGTTGATGTAACTAAAGCACATCCATCTAAAGTTGGCTTTATGTTTTTATTAAAATTCAATTTACATTGAAAATAATGGTCATTTAACGCCCAGACTGCATAGGCTATCCCACTGAATACCCCTTCCCTGTGCCTATGCAAGTTGCATACTACCCCCTGCAGGACTTACTCTCAAGGAGATGTGGGCTTCTAAACACTAAGACCGCTTTTGGAATGGGAACTCTGGCGTACTGGGCTGAATACCAAGAGGTACCCAGGCATACACAATATATGGTTTTTAGTCTTTCTTTGAAGTATTTCATGGTTTACTATTCTGATGTCTCTTCAGACCTTGCCAACATTAAGCTTTTTCTGTTAGTTTGTAACCACACAGAAAATATAAAATAGTTCAGTCTCAATACATTTGGTAGGTAGGTGTTTTATCCTAGCTTGAAAGTGTATGGTTTCCTTTGCATAGCTGTTTGAGTGCATCACTCTTGTTTCAATTGTGACAATTTGGCTTACACCTCTCTTTTCCTTGTGTGAAGTGGGGCTTGAGCGCATTGCACCATTCTGTTGCATGCATCCTCTAGACATGCTGTTCCCTGCTATGGAATTATGGACAACTGCCCAAATTTTTCCCAGAATACTGCTATACAGTTGCAGACACAGTGGCAAATGCAAGCTCGCAAGGACACTGATATATTCAAGGAAAAAGACTGAATCAGTACAATAAGCAGGCAACAGTAACAGGTGTATAGTATAGAACACCAACTGGAGGCTCTGCCTTGTCTACCTCGTGCAAGCTGATCTTGTTTCCTATGGTTACTGCTCCTGCTAACCTTAGAATCACAGAATCAACTACATTGGAAAAGACCTTCAAGATCATCAAGTCCAACCATTACCCCAGGACTGCCAAGTCCACCACTAAACCATGTCACTGAGGGCCACATCTACATATTTTTTGAGCGCTTCTAGGGATGCTGACTCCACCACTTCCCTGGGCAGCCTGTTTCAATGCCTGATCACCCTTTCCTTGAAGAAGTTGTACCTAATATCCAATCTAAGCCTTCCCTGACACAGCTATTACTTGTTACATGGGAGAAGAGACCAGCCACCACCTCTCTCCATCCTCCTTTCAGAGAGTTGTAGAGCCCTATGCATTTCAGCTGCCAGGTCTTGCACCTATCAAAATTTGGGAAATGTCTCTTTCTCCCTCTTCGGAGCACACGGAGGCCCACGGAACGCAAACATAAGCAGTACAAACAGGGTAATTTACCACTAGGTGGCTGGACCTCCTTTTTGTCCAGCTCTGGGTTTTGTTCCTAGCTCTGAGTGACAGTGCTCAGAGCAGAACAATGGACTCATTGTAAGCTCCCTCCCCATCCCCTTTATAACTTAACATTTTTAAACAGCTGATGCTTTTAGCAGATTTACCTTTATGATGAATATTTCAGACTTCTCAAACCTACTGAAAAAGCTGTGCTGATATCTAAGAAAATGATACATCTTTGCTGAGACAAAAATCTCCCTCACTCCTGTTATTTTTTTCCATTCCATTACATGTGTAACACAACTTTCATTGAGTGTTTCATTTCACATGTGTATGCATAAGCGCGACACACTTAACAGTTCATCATTCAGCTGGGATATAGCATTATGAAGTCCTGAGAAGTCATGACATAGCAGATACATATTTTGGTCTGGTGAATTTGGTGACATAAGATTTGTAAAACTCTTAGATACTGAGGTTGATGTCCCTGTGATTCAGGGCAGAAATGTCTGTCCTGGGCAAAATTAGCTTTCCTTTGAGAAAAATTATTATACTCATGGTCAGTCTCTTCAAAAAGGTTAATACTTCTGGGTAAAAACACCAGCTTTCCTGATGACTGCAGACTGATATATTATACAGAGCATGGAGACCTACTTCAAAAGGCAAATTTCCCCTGCCTGAAAGCAGACAAGAGGAACAAAGTATGCATCTGTTTCTTGAAGATATCACTTCTTTTTTTTTTCCCCTTATCAGTCTCTTCTTCACACTTTCACATCCGTTATTGTATTTACTGGGTCCACATTGTGTGTTTATAGATACATTTGTATCCTTGAGTTCCAAACAACAGAGAGGTACAATTTTTAACTAGATTTACTTTAGTTGTTTTGCTGTTGCAACACTAGCATTTTATGCTTGCCATTTGCAGGAACAAGAAGGAGACATAATCCCTGTCTCCAAGGCAGTATGATCTCAGATGCCAAACCTGGAAATCTCAGGGCCCTTTAATAGCTGTGCAAAGGTCTGAAGATACGTGAAGATGTGATGGTGGTACTTGAAATGGTAAGACCGAGGTGAATCTACAAATAAGTCTGGGGTGGGATTTCTTTTATTTTCCAAATATTGTCTCAGATATCAGTTATCCACAGTTCAATTTCCTTAAAGCACTATGACATCAAAGAAGGTTGATGGTATAATTAGTGTGGTAGAAAAAGAGCAGGAAATCAAATTCTACGTACCCAAACTCACAGGGAAACATGGGTGGTGAAGCATACAGCAAATGACAAGCCTCTGAAGAAACAGACTTCAAAAGTAATTGTTCAACCCAACAAGAATATTAGTGGCTACTCTGTTCTCATCTGCGGGGAAGTTTCTGGGTTTTTTTAATATAACTGGAAGAGAGTAAGAAAGGGTTGGAAATGTCTTCTTATTGGACTTAAAACAAGTAAATTGTACATTTTTCTAAGTGCCTTCCTTTCAAAAGTGCCTGAAGGGTATAGGTGCAGTTTATTATTGAAGCGTAACCTTGCACTTGGAAGAAGCCCAGAAGCAAAGTCTGGACCCAGTTTACTTGCTCTTTGAATTTTTCAAAACAGAGGAGTTCCCAGGTAAACAGAGGAATTGTGTGGCTAGCTTGAGTCTTATCTTCTGCTACTTAATCCTGTTACAAATGGCATGCTATTGCTGAGCAAAGAGGACTATCTGCCAACGATGTAGCATTACCACAGGCAGGATGTATTCCTCCCACCCTACTATGGGAAGTAAAAAGCCCCGACAACACAGCATGGTTTTGTAATGACCCTAGTACTGCTATTTTATGCCTTTTTGGAATTTCATATTTGTAAGTATGTTATTTACCTTGTTCCTAAGCAGGTCCACCAGTATAAACTATACAGAATATTGCTGTAAAATACCTGGTTTGCTGGTGTTATTGAAAGTGCTATGTTTGCTGTGGCAGCTCTCTGCATAGTATCTGAGAAATGAAAAGTGTCAATACCAAACATAAAGGAAACTGGTATCTGTGATCCTGCTATGTGGTAACTGTTGTCAGATATGAATGGAGGTGTGTATGAAGAACAAGACATAAAATTATGAGTAAATCAGGTTAAACATACCGAACACCTTGCTTGGGATTACCAGCTCACTTGCAGAAACTCCTGTAAAGTCTTAGTAAACTGTTAAGAAGTCCTGGATACATTCTGTCATGTAGTCCGACAGACAGGAGACACTGAAGTCACAAGGATGGCAGCCCTTTTGCCGCTCCTATTGCCATAGCCCAGATGAGCAAGCATGTTCCCACCACAGGTGAGGAGTTGCCTCCCTGCAGCTGGAGTGCACTGCAGATCTGGCGCTTCCTCCAGCAGGTGCTGACTCCCTTGAGTACCTCATCACTCTCCCCAGGAGGTTTTGGATCAACTCTCTGCTGTGAAGGCAATGACACAGAGTGCCTTCAGATCACAGCATCTCTACAGCCATTTGAACTAAAAACAGTGGGGAAAGAGTTGCTTAGATTTAAAATGAGAGCTTGTTGCATAGTTGGCTTTTCCCACTCTGTTCTCAGCATGATAATTTGAGGCCCCACCTGCACAGAGGTCTGGGGGCTGAGCTTTCAACCAGGCTGGTCAAACATCTGCTCCAACACCTTTTAGCTCCTATCTAGTTCATGGCTTTCAGCCAGGCCAGGCTGAAAGCTTTTCTAAAAGCTGGGCTGTGAGATGAACTGGTCTGCTAGCCTCCCGTCCCACCACTCTGACTGCAACTTGCATTTAAAGCCTGCAACCACCAGATTTGCAGTCTTGCGCTGTCTCATCCTAACTCCTGCTTTCACTCACTGACCTTCTGACAGGTTTACAGATCTGCCTGGAAAGAGATGCCAGACTGATTCCTGAGGGATTGTTCAGGTGAATAACTCTGATTCAGGCTCACAGGAAAACAAAAATCTGCACAGGAGGAGGGAAGGGAAGCTCAGGTGGCTTAGCGTTGAGTAAAGAAAACCGTTGGAGGGAAACATCCTCAACCACTACTAAAAATGGTGGATTTGAAGAAAATCTTATCACCATTAAAACACACTCAGAGGAAATCCTTACTCTCCTGAGTGCTATTACAGAGTAAACACCATATGTTAAAACTCTGAGCTGTGAAGCGAGGGTGTCCTGTGTTATTTGATGAAGAATGGCTGAGAGCAACTCAGCAGGCCTCGAAAAACCTAATGGACCTTAACTTTAGAAAATTACATGGTGCTTCATTGTGGGATAAACATCAGGTGCCCTTTTGGATGGAACACTGTCAAGAATTACACCAGAACCCTTAGGTATACACAAGCAATAGTCTGTGTTTGGGAAGGGAAGTTTCCAAATTTGCAGTTTGTCCAGTGCTGCCTTTAGCAATACAAAGTTAGAGGGAAAGTTGGTGCTTACTGGAGTCTAACAATCAAAGCACCAGTAACAAAAGGGGAGGCGACTGCCCATATTCTGATTGTAGCAACCCCTAATTCAGGACTGCAAGTCTGTGTTTCTTTTGTAGAATAATGCATATGTTTTATCTCATTAAGTCTCGTCACTGCCCTGTGCATAAAATGGTTGTAACAAGTACTTTACAGTTTATGCACTTTGGAGCCAGTTTGGATGTAGGAGTGTATGGAACCACATCTCCAGTCACTGTGTGACTGAGCTATGGACTAAGTACGTCATACTGTTTATGCTTCATCATTGTATAGACTTGTCAGGGGAATTAATAAGAGTGAGCGCTGTAAAAAACTCCAGAACAGGGGCTTGCTGAGGCACTGCAGTACATAAACAGAGCTGTCCTTCTGAACGTTTGTCCCAAGCAGCACCACGGTGCAGCTGCAGCCCAGAAGGCTGCTCTTTTGCTTTTGACCGCACAGAGAGAGAGGGAGGAAGTGTAGCACCGCTCCCACCCTTCCTCTCACAAGCAGCAGAGGTAGCAGCTCCCTGTGCTGGGCAGAAAAAATACCTCTTCCCTCCCTCAAACGAAGGAAACAGCAAGGTGAATTATTCTTCCCTACAGTTCCAAAGTAGCATTGCTGGCACTAATGGTTGGCATATCTCATTTTGCATATGTTTGCTCTAAGGGGACATCTGAGGCTGCATCTTCATGTCTATCTGCTTAGAATGCTGCAAGACTTGTCTGGGCTGATCTTGAACAAACCAGCTGGCAGACTGCAAGCAGTAGAGCTCAGGCCAGTAGGCTTGGTGACCATTATTGTGGATACTTGGTAGTTCTCTTTAAGTAATTTGCATCCTGGTTAGTAGCTGTCATCATCTTTGTTCCAAAATCTGCCAAATGCTGGTCGGAAGTGGAGTGAATACAACTTGTAGCTTCTTAAGGTATTCTTAAGAACACTTGACAGAATGGATCCTTATACCAAAAGTACAGCATTCAGAGAAAGAAATTAATGCTCAGATACATATTCTCTTGAGAAAGTAAAATCAGACATAAGGCAATTGCTTATGAGTTATTATTTGGTACACCTTAGTTTCAGATTCTGGCCTTTAACTCTGTAAATGTATAGACATGCATAATGATCTGTGAATCATCCTAACAACGTTCTTGTTATCAGATTATAATAACGTTGGGCTGGTCCTGCAAAGGGATATTATTACCCAGTATTGAGAGCTAAGTTTTATATGAAAAAGCAGCTCAACACTCACCAGAAAGCCACTAACCAGCGTTAGCCATAACAGTAATCTATCAGTACTTGCACTTGTGAACTAAATGAAAGACTTGTGTTGCTCCTGTGGGAAGCAGAAGTCCTGTTCACAGCTGGGACACAGCATATAATTCCATCAAGGCCAATACAACTTGTATCACCACTTGAGTTTGGTTCTATGGAATTATTACCTAAAAACTCCTCTTAAACCTAAACCCCGACCCCCCATCAGTGGTTGCTCATTTGCTAAGCAGAAAACTTAAGTGTTTTCCTGGTTGCAAAACCATCAAATGAACACAAATGGCATTATGAGCTAGTATGGTGTTTAGATTGAAAAATATTTTGAGGTAGATAATACCTCCACCTCTCTAAATCTTGTTGTATGTCAGAAAGCTCTATGGCTTCCCCATGGAAAAATATTGCTATCCTATGAATTTCAGCTAAAATGAAGTGTCTAGGAAATAACAAGACTTATGGACACAGACACTGAACTCCTTTTAGACCACAACCCTTTATCTCACTAAAAGTGGCACGTGGTGAGATTAGTGATGTGATAACTCACACAACTCTGGTCTTCAATGTGCTCCTTAGCCATTTCTCATCTCCAGCCACTCTGACTTGCATTTCTTTTTCTCTGGAAAATGTCAAAGAATTCATAGATCAAAAAACAGGAGTTGACACAAAGATAGAGGTGATGGATCTAAGAAATGATTGAATTGAGGAATTAGGTGGGAAGTAAGGATTTAGAGTCCACAACTATTCCCCTTATGCAAATTTCTCAAACTTCCTGCACTTACTACTATTAGACTTGGCCAGTCTTTACTCAGAAGCCCACTGATATTTACATCTTAGAGATGAAAAGTGTTTATTTCATCATTTGGATGGGATTTCTTCTCCAATGTCAGTAGTAAATCAAAGAATTACCTAGTGTTAGGAAGCGCTGTGCTACTAAAAACATTGCTTTGTCATTGAAATATGTCCATTAGTACTCCTGTGACTAGTCTGTTGAATTATAAACTAACGGAATCTGAATAACTGTCTTGCCATACTGCAGGGAAAGGTAATGTTGCTCCTGCTTAGTATCACCTAAGGCTTTTGTGCCAAGGCATCACACTGGAACTCGGTATTGACTGATAACTAACAGTGAATTTAAAGTGCTGTCACAGTCATCTTGCTCAGCTTCCAGACCCAGGTGGCCAAAGCATGTAAGAAGAGATCCACCAGAGATGGCACAAAGCCAAGGGATTTTTTTACCTTTTTTTTTTTAATCTATCCCTGTTTGTTTAGGACAGGAGATAAAATGTGTTTGTAAACCAGAGAGGTTGCTGCAGGTGCAGAGGACTCTGTTCCAGCTGGCATTCGGAAAGATCAGTTACCTACATCAAAGCTGTTCTGCTGCCTTTGCTGTCTGGTTGCTTGTTTCTGAGGCTGCACAGGAACTCTACACACAAAGTGAATTAAAAAGAGCAAGGTTCTGTGTTCAATACCCTCTTCAAGTGGGCAATCTAGTCATTAACACCGACATCCTAAGTTCTCTTAAAGCTGATCAGGTCACGGGACAATGTGAAATGCTTTTGACATTAAAATGAGACTTGGCAATGCTATACTATTCTCGATTGAGAAAGCAAGTGAATTCATGTAATCTGATGCTATAATTTATGTAGCTTGCATTTCTTTTTAAGTTGTTGATTTGGAATGAATGGATTAATACACAAACCATCTGAGATTGTTACTGAATTTATTGTAATCAATATTACCCTGCAATATTTTCCTCTTGCCTGTGAAGCATTAAAATGCTAAAGGGTGCCAACACGTGGTGTTAGCAGGGTGTTATGACAGGAATACTACAAATGTTTGTACAGGTTGTCACCAATATTTGAAGCCACTTGTAAAAACAGCACCTTAATATAACACATTATTACCATACCCTACTGTATGTATGTACTGATGTGTTTTTACTCGTTGGTACAGAACCTAAGGATCACTAATTATTCACCCTTTTCTGCCTCCTTCCCATGGGTGGTCTTGCAAAGACACAGTGTTAACAATACCCTAACAATAGGCATAGGGACAACATGCACGTGGTAAACTATACAGTCATAGTTAAATTGTATGGATGTGTTGCATTAATTTCACATTTACTGATAACTGCTTATTTTCACGGAACCCTTTCAGCAGATCTTTTCTTAACATCTACCAAACCTGACAGACAAATATTTTCCTTCTCTTTCAAAAAAGACACATGACAAGGTCCCATAATAAATATGAAGTGATCTTGAACCAAAGACTATTTTTTGTAGTTCTAACAATATACTTTTGAAGTGTGTTACCTTACAACCCTGTAGAGATGGGAAATGTAATTTATTACAAAGAAGTCTTCTATCTTTTGAATTAAAATATCGCACTTACAGCTAGATCAGAAGACTTTACAGACTTGAAACACTAAAATGATGATATTCTTCAGCAAAGAAATGCTCTTAATTATTCTGTTAATGCCAGACCACATGGACTTTTGAATCCCAAACAGCCTATGAATACAACTAAGCCACGTAACTTTAAAGTTGACAAGTCCAGCATGAATTCAGAGTATGCTAAAATATAAACCCTAGAAAGCATTGTAAAATGGTTCTTCATGCGTTCCTGTGCGTGCAGTGCATACAAGTTCAAGTGGGAGGTGATCTGAAGGCACCCATTCAGAATAACCTCTACAGTACAATTACGGTCTTGCTCCTTCTCATTACCACTGCTAAGCTAGAATCGTGCTGCTCTCCTGCCTTTTCTCCCCGCGCGGGCTACAGAGCGCTGTCCCCTGCTCCCTCACGCTAGACAGGCTGTGTAATTCGTCACTGCCCCTGCTTTGGTCTCCCCAGCTGTAGGGGGGAGGGAGGGAACCCCCCCGCCTGGCACCGCTGCGTTGTGTGCAACGCCACGGCTCGGGGAGCCCGCCGGGTACTTTGCCGAGGGAGACGTCGCGGAAAGAGAATGGAAGACACCTCGGCTTGGACTGACAAACCCGTAACGAAGACACGGGCTCACCAGACCCCATTACAACTCTCGGGCACCTAACACGAGCAACACAGCATCTACCCCAGCGCGGACAGGTGCGGTCACTAACGCCCACCTCGCGGAAGGCTCCCCCCACCGCGGCTGCCCTGCACGGCCGCTCCCACGGCCACTCCGCCGGACCCGTTACGTAACTGAGGCGGTGGCGGCGACAGCCACAGCCAGGCCGCCCCCTCAGACAAAGACCGGCCACAGCCCCCGTGCTATCACCCTCAGGGGAGCCACATCACCAGCATCCCCCCGGCCCCAAGACCCGCGCACCCCGCCACTGAAGCACACACACACGGCTCGGTGGGGCGGTGGATGGAGGGTGGTGAGATAGAGGAGGGGCCGCCCAGGGCCGCCTCTGCCCCGCCCTCAGCGCGCCGCCGCGCAGTCCGATTGGCGAGGCGCCACGCCAATCACATCGCGGCGGCTGCCAGTGGCGATCCTCGCTCCGCCCCCTCTCCCCTTCTCTGCGGGGCGGGGCGCGCGCGGCCGCCGTTGCAGCTGTGGGGGCGGGGGAAGGAGCGAGCGTTGTTCGGGAGGGCTCGGGGCACCGCGCGGCTCCGGCAGGGCAGTGCCGAGCAGCACCGAGCCGGGCTGTGGTGGCGCCGAGCTCCCCGCTCTGCCCCGGCGGCTCCTTCCCTGGCCGCCGCCTCTCTTCTTCTGTCTGCCCCCCTCCCGCTGCGAGTAGCCGGGGCCTCCTCCATGCGGGAGAAGAGGAGGAGGTGGGAGCTGCTCGCCGGCCATCCCCGGCGCCCGGCAAGTCGGAGTCGAGCCGCCGTCGCGCCGCTCTTACCACATCTCTCCACGGCGAGCAACCGGCGCTGAGCCCTGCCCGCCGCGCCGTCCCAGCCCCCTTTCGTATAGATCCCTCCCGTCTGTTCCCCCCTCTTCTTACTCCTTTCATTCCCCACCCCCCCCCTTTGGTTCTCAACCTGGCTGCGAGCAAAGTGTCTTCATGAGCGCAGAGGATGTCCGGGAAGCACTACAAGGGGCCTGAAGTCAGTTGTTGCATCAAGTATTTCATCTTCGGCTTCAATGTCATTTTCTGGGTAAGTGGGCCGGTTGCACGGCGCTTCGTGTCTTCCTCTGCCACCTTCTTCTCCTCCTCCCGCTCCGCCGATCGCGGGCTGGGCACGGCCAGGAATGAAAACCGGAGGGACCGTGTAAAAGCGGAGCCCCGGGGTCGTGCGTGACAGTTGGGCGCGCGGCCGGCGGTTACGGGTTTGAATGGGGCTTTCGGGGGTGCCGTCTAAACCTTCCCTTTCTCCCTCCCTGTAGTCACCTCCTGCCCGCCCGGCTCCAGGCAGCCCTTCCCTGGGCAAGTTGGCGTGCTGCGTCCCCGCACCTTGGGAGGCTGCGGGCTCCTCTTCCCTTCCGGCCCTCCTAATTGCTTTTGTTGTAGGTGCGAACAGGGTTTTTTGCCTCTTTCCCCCCCCTCTTTTCCTACTCCCTTCCCCCTCGTCTGGTTTGTGGTGGGGGAGGGAGCAGCTAGACACTCGGGCCTGGAGAGCGAATTGATCTATATGTTTTCCTGCCAATATCCCTGTTAAATACAAATAATAATCAAATCACAGCTCAAGTTCTCTAAACAGCGCAGTTTAAGGCAATGATTACACAATGGCGAGGTTGTGTACAGCACGGATTTATTCTGGTTAGCTATGAAGACATAGTAGTAGCAATAATAGGATGGAGGAGGGAGGAAACTGTATTCCCACCCATCCCTAAAGTGTAAACCCGTGGAAGGCTCGGTTGGGCATTCGCTGGGATGCCTGGCAGTGCTGCTCGATCTCCTGACTGCACAGTATGTTGTTGCACCATTCTAGCACTGGCTTAGAGTAGGCAGAACTGCATAGTGAAATGTAACCTGCATATAGTAGCTTTTCTAGCATCTTCTCACTGTTGGATTTGAAAGAGAAGCAGCTGGTTTTAGATTTACATGCCAAATTTCGTAACCACAGAGGGGAGGGGGTGAGCATTCTCACACATAAATGATGAGGTTTTATCACTTCATAGAATGTTACAGTTGGGTGAAGGCTCTTACATGTGCATTTCCCCTCTTTTCATGAGATATTCCATTCAGCAATGAGAAACGGGCATAAATTGAGGTAGGGTGAATGTGTTTTTGAGGTGCTTTGAGGGCAAGTTGAATACATATCTCACGGAGTTGCTTCTTCGAACTACAAGCATGAATTGGGGACCCCCCCCCCTTGAAGTTTTCTGAATGAAGGTGGGGAAGAATAGAGGAGAGGAACCCCCACACCAGTACTGAGCTTGTGATTGTCACCCTGCTGAGAATAAACGAGGGTGGTTATGTGGCTAGCTGGTGTTCTTAGCTAACCTCATATCTGTGTTCCTGGAAAGTAAAGATGCTTGAAGATGTTTTGGAAGAGCAGGAGTTGTGATTAATTACACTTTTATGCTGAAATACCTTTCTTTAGTTAGCAAGTAAGCTGATGGACTGAAGGTGGCTGTGGTTTCATGTCAGTGTTTACTTGGCCCAAGACTGACCTGTGGAGATCAATGATTGCAGGCTTTGTAGTATTTTGACCCTACAGTGCCTCTTTTTATTGTTCACTCAGTTTTTAGTGGTTGAGTTTGCCATTGGTTCTTTTCCTGTGTCTCTTTTCTCATTTTGATTTCCCTGGGTTTATGTTGCTGTTGAACACAGATGTTTTTCAGTAGAGAGCAGAGCAGCGTGAGGAACACTTGTGTGCCACGTCCTTAGAAGAGAAAGATTATGGTGAAATATACATGGATGTGTGATCTTGCTCCTTCAGGCACCGTCAGTTTATAAGAAGCTATATACCGAGTAATTTTCTTCATCTTACTCTCTGAAGTTTAGTGTAGGGGTGGTGCAGGTGGGGAAGCTGTATGTTTTTATGTATTTTGTGACTAGTTGTTTTCCCGTTCCTGTGCTGTTGAGGCTGATGCAGCATAGTTTTTGCATGGCTGCAGATGTTTCTCTGTTGTAACTGAACGGGTTAAAGGATATTTCGCAAGGCCACATGGCTTTATACTGCTGGAACACTAATCTGAAGACCTGACTATATCGCACACTCTGCCATTTGCTTGATGTGTGGCCCTTGCTTACAGATTTCCCCTTTTGCAAAATGATAATCGTCTCATTTGTGTCCTTGCCTAAACTTCTTGAAATCCACAGAGACAAAGCATTTCATAGGAGTTTAGTCATTTCTTCAGAATACTGTAATCTCTTTATGAGGGAGCCTGCAGTTATTACCATGTCTCTCATGATTTGAAGTGAAAACATAGGCAGTTACTCTTGTAGAATACATTTTAATGTTGCTTTTACTGAATTAATAGCAAACCCTTCAATATTCTATCATGAAACTGGGCCAGAAAAGCTGTAAATGCAAATTACAAGTTTGGTTGGCTGTTCACAAAAAAGCTATAATCAGAAATAGCCACTGATGTAGTCAATGTAAATACATTGAAATGATGAAGAGAGCGTTGTATTAACCCCATGATGCCCTCCAGGAATCTTGCTAACATGGAGATATGTAGAACACCTTTGTTAAAACTTCTGCCTGAGCATTACTATACAGTGGGTTTAAGAACTTTTTAAGACTTTAATGTAAACAAATGGGAAAATACACTCTAATCTGCATCATACACCATTGGACTATAAATAAAAAGAACCATTTGGAAGAGTAATGGTTTTGACAAGGAAATTGTCAGTGCCTTGAGCAGAGGAATATTATAGACCTGATGAAATGATGTTGGGAAGGATTGTACATACTACTTAAACCGAGGATGCTACAAGAAATCAGAGGCTTTATGCCACAGAGTATGGGCAAAATAAATGATCATTTTTTTTATTAATTTTTTGTTTTTGTGCTGGTCTCTTATTTCTTTCTTTAAAAACCACAACTGAATTACTAGGATAATGAACATAGGAAAGTTGCACTCAGATGCTGGGTGGGTAGCTGTAACTAAAGGTGGCTAGTAGGCTCTTTAGGAGGCAGTTCTCAGTCTTGCACCACCTGAGGTAATGTATCTGTGTTTCATACTGTTGTAAAAGATGGTATTATCCACTGAGTCTACGCTTAATTTATGCTTTAGGCGTACTTACCATTTTTTTTTTTTAATTCAGTATTAAAGTTGGTAAATATGCTGGAAGTGTTTGTTGAAAAAATATTTTGGGATTACTGTGTTCTTATGGAAAATGAAAGGTCGTTTGGCAGTTGACAAAGTAAGGTTTAGGAACTGAGAAAGTTAGAACTCAGTATTATGTTTCTCTTTCCATTGCTCAGCTGCCTTGTTCTGCTGATTGTTGATTAGAGCACACATGTGTGCTTTAACTTGAGTAGCATAATGGCTGTGAAAAAGCACCATGTTGTGTTTGCTGTCTTTCTAGGCTGGTGGAATAGACAGTGCTTTTTTTTTTTTCTTTTTAATGAGCCTTTATGTCATTGTCTAGGTAAACCATAATGTAATTTGATTTAGGTAACAGGCTGCGGCCCTAATACAAAGTAGCAGAAGAACATTTTTCTGTTGTCAAAGAAAGCAAACAAATAATGCCTCCTCTTCCCCTTCTCCCTTAGACTTCTGTGTAGAATGGTGTCAAAGTTACAGTGCAAAAAGTAAAAGTAGGCTGCCCTACTTCCCAAAAGGCTAGAACTCTTTCCCCTTCTTACCCCTTCTACTTCTGTAAAACAGTTTAAAGCCAACTTTTGGTTCCAAGAAAAATTGCTCTGTGTTTTATTAGACTTGATGGAAACTGTGGATAGATACTGGTGTTTAGCTCTCAGTTTCAATCCATGCTTGATTGAGCTGACCCTAGTCTAATTGGACAGATGTATAAAAAGCACTTGACACCTCAGAAACCTTTGCTTTATCTGATGATTCCGTTGTGAGAGATGCTGCAGTTATGATACATCAGCATATTACAAGTCATAATTTGTGTTTTAATTTGCTGGCATCTGCTAGTTTTGATGGCAACCATATGGGAATCTGCATTGTCTTCTGAATTACAGGAAGATAGCAAAAAGAAAACTGAATAAGGTTACAGAAATGTGCTACGGGAAAAGTGTTGGAAAAGTGCACTGACCTTTAAGGGACATCAAATAGATTGTTTATGAAATTTCGTATGTTGTTGATATTTTGTTTTCGAAGGGGCGGAAGATCATTTTCCAATGTCAGCTGGTTTCCAGATATCCATAAGGGAGTTTTGGCTATGTAATTCTCCCTTACCACAGTGATAACAGGAAAAAAAAAAAAAAATTCATTGTGGAGCTTGTTCCATGCAATTTTCAAATGTGTTCTGTGGCATTTGGTCTCTAAAAAAACTGCATTGGGAAGATGCCTGTGCACTGGAAGGGGAAGCATTCTGTTCACTCCCCTTTCACAATCGAGTGATGTTTATTTACTTTTAAAAAATTCCTTACAGCAGAGATAACTTAGATTTTCACAAGTGGTCTTGTTAGAAACAGAACAATGCTTGTCTGGGGAAAATACACAACTGTTTTGTGGCAGTGATGTACATACTGATGAAATAGATGTAGCATTGTGAGCTTGGGATTCCTGAATTTCTTAGTGTCTCTTTCAGCAGATGTAGCTCCACTCTTTTAAATGCATATAAAAATACACTAACTCTGCTGTCTCCAGGAGACTTCAGATTTGCAGAGGTCATTCTTGGAAGAAACATTTTCTTTGCCCTGCCTTTCCTCTTAACTTTGTGGCAGGCTGTATTATTGGTTGCACAAAATGAAATAGGTGAGAGACATGGGTGAAGCTGTTTCCTTTCTCCACAGTATTTGTTTTGCCAGAACTAAGTGTTTGTAAATATTATTGTTTCAAGCTATTTTAAAATAAGTTTGTGAAACTTTTATGAAACAGTTTATAAAAGATTGAAGAAATGGAAGGGCACAAGAAATAGAAAAAAATAATCGTGACTAGCTGTGTGATGATTTCTGTTTGATATCCACATACTTCAAATGAATGTTACTGGAACTATCAAATGCAGCGTACATATTTTTTTTTCTGTGTTAAAGATGAATTTGGTACAAGTATTTACCAGTCTCCCATCTCG